AGCAGCTGACACACACTCAGCGCCCACTACACACCATGCACCACCGCGCCACAGCAGCTGACACACACTCAGCGCCCACTACACACCATGCACCATCATGCCACAGCAGCACACACTTAACACTCAGTACACACCACACACCACCACACCATAGCAGCTCACACACTCAACACTCACTACACACCACACACCACACCACAGCACCTAACACACACTCAACACTCAGTACACACCAGGCACTGCTCTAAGTCCTTTATGCTGCTCTCCTCATAAGGTCTAGATGCTGTTCTTATTCCCATTCTGAGGTAAGATACCGAGGCTCACAGGCTAACCCGTGCTCCAGGTCACTTCGCTCTAAGTGGTGAAGCCAAGGCTTTGGCCCTGCAGCCCGAATCCCTGTGCCCTGGGAAAGCTGGTTCCACAGCCAGCCCCCCCCCCACCATTCACACCTCTTGGCTCCCTCCTCGATGGTCTCTCCTTATTGCACTTTGCCCCCAAAGCCATTCCAGCGGCTGGCCCCAAAGCCTCGGTTTTTCATGCCCAGGAGAACTCGCTGAGGCTGCAGGACCAGCACCAGGGTATAGAGCCTGGAGGCGCCCATGGTCCCTGGGTTCTGAAACGAAGGTGAGACGGCAGAGTTGGTGGTGATGCTCACGGAGGAAGCAGGTGCCAAGGCCCAGGAGGAAGGGGATGTGCTCTGGGAGGTGGGGAGGGGAAGCCGTGATTGCCGGCTCTACCTTCTTTCCCCTAACTCAGCTGCAAAGGACAATGTGACCTTTCCAGAGAGGACTCTTGCTCCTGCATCTGCCCCCAGGAACCCCCTGGCCATAGGCACAGCAGTGGGGCAGAACAGTCTCTGTGCCTGACTGACACCAAAAGAACCACACAATTTATCCTGTGGTTCTCAGGTCAGCCTTCAACACTGGCCTTTTGATTAACAGGAGTTTCTTCCAGCCTAGTGGGACCTGCCTGCCTCTCTTGTAGCAGGCTTCCCAATTCATAGGAAATGCGTGACTGCAGACACAGGTCCACTCAGCCGGGCCCGGCTAGTCCTCCCTCCTGTGACAGGAGTTTATATCCCACTCACTCTGCTCCTACTGTGGCCACTGTGGGACCTGGGACCCAGGGATGCCACTGGAAGCAAGGGCCCTTCCTGCTCCCACAGGTGGGCAGGTCCAGGTCCAGAGGAGGACTCTGAGGGTGATGCCTCCGCCAAGTCCCTGCTGGAAAAAGGACCCTGGAGAAATGCTGGAGGACCAGGACCAACTTCCCTTCCCTTCCTCCTTCCCTTCCTCTCTCTCTCTCTTTCCTTCTTTCTTTTGAGACTCCTTCCTTCCTTTCTTTCGAGACAAGAGCTGGAGGACCAAGACCAACTTTCCTTTGTTTATTTATGTATTATTTAGGGACAAGAGCCTGCTCTGTTGCCCAGGCTGGAGGAGAGTGGTATTATCTCGTTTCACTGCAATTTCGGCGTTCCGGGCTGAAGCTGCCTCCTGCCTCAGCCTCCAGCATAGCTGGGACCACAGGCATGAGCCACCATGCCCAGCTAATTTTTGTATTTTTAGTAGAGATGGGGTTTTGCCATGTTGCCCAGGCTGGTCTTGAACTCCTGGGCTCAAGCAATCCACCCACCTCAGCCTCCTAAAGTGCTGGGATTACAGGCATGAGCCATTGTGCCCAGCCAGGACCAACTTTTCTGGGGTCTACACCTGGCCCCCAGGACAGGATTCAGACACAGGATTCAGGACCAGTGATCCTCCTTAGAAGTTGTGGTGTCTAAGAAAAGGGATGGGACAGTAAGGAAGGGGGACAGGGAAGGGCTGGGTAGAAGAGGGCGTGGTTTCTGGCTAGGGCTCCACCCCCAGGCCTGTGCCTAGGGACCTAGGTGAGGACAGGTATTTCTGTTTTCCTGCCCAAATGTTGTATTTCCCAAGCCCGCCAGGACCCCATCCTGTGCCTTTAAAACCCCCCAGACCCTAGTGAGCAGAGAGACGCGAGCCGCTAGACATCTAGAGGATGTGAAGAGCACCCCAACAGGCACCAGCAGCAGGCAGGCAGGGAATCAACTGGCGGAACCACAAGGAGTTTGGCAGGGGCGGTAGGAGGAGAACCTGGGCTGCTTGGCGGCCTGGCTCCAAGGGAAAACCATCTTCTTGCTTCAACTCCCTTCTGGCTCCCCCATGTGCTGAGGGCTACTTCCACTCAATAAAACCCTGCACTCATTCTCCAAGCCCACGTGTGATACGATTGCTCCAGTACACCAAGGCAAGAAACCCCGTACAGAAAGCCCTCTGTCCTTGCGATAAGGCAAGGAGGCTAATTGAGCCGACACAAGCCACCTATACGGCTAAACTGAAAGAGCACCCTGTAATACATGCCCAATGGGGCTTCAGGAGCTGCAAACATTCACCCCTAGACATTGCTGTGGGGTCGGAGTCCCACAGCCTGCCCGTCTGTATGCTCCCCTAGAGGCTTGAGCAGCGGGGCCCTGAAGAAGTGGGCCACATCCCTATCGCACGCCCTTCAAGAAGGACAAGGGAACCTGTCCCATTTCACTGAGACTGGGTCCTGGTGGTGGAGGCAGGTCAGACAGGGTAGGTGGGTTTGTGGCTGAGCTTCTCAGGAGGCCCGTGTACTTTGTCCTGACACTGATCTGTTCCTGCCAGAAGCCATGGTTTCCAGAGTAAATTTTTGTGATGATTTACTGCCGGTCTTTCCCCTAAGCCCCCGGCCCCGCTCTCCTGGTCTCCCCTAAGCTCCCGTCCCGCCCTCCTGGTCTCCCCTAAGCCCCGGACCCCGCCCTCCCGGTCTCCCCTAAGCCCCCGACCCCGCCCTCCTGGTCTCCCCTAAGCCCCCGACCCCGCCCTCCTGGTCTCCCCCGATTCCCCGGCTGGGCTCCACTGGTCTCCTCCAAGCCCACGGGCTAGGCTTACCTGGTCTCCTGCGGCCCGCTGGCTCAGCTCCCCTCCCTGGTCACCCCGGCTACTAGAATCCCGCGCGCACTTTTCGTACTTGCACCGCGGCTTCCGGGGACGGGGCCTCTGACCGGAAGTGAGGCGAGGCATTTCCGGCGGCTTGCTGTAGGCGCGGGGGCCAACCATGGCGGGGTGAGAGGGGGCCAGTGGCGTGCGTGCAGGAGGCGGGAGTGGTTGTGGGTCCGCCCCGTCGCCTTCCTCGGTCCTGGCCTCAGCTCTGGATCCCAAGCGCTGGGCACCGTCGCTGCACTGAGCGAGCGCGACAGGAGCGAGGCCGGGGCTCCCGGTCGCAGATCCCAGGGAGAAGGGCACCCTCAGGTCTCCAAGGGCCGGCGGAGCCGTGGGGAGGCCGAGGCGGTAGGGTCCGAGTCCAGGTGCGGGAGCAGCGCCGGGGCCTGGATCCGAGGCGCCCGGGGCCGCGCCGGGGGGTTCGTTTCGTGGGCCGGGTAGCTCTAGTGCCCACGCTTCCGGGGCTGTCGAGTGTGCTCTCGCCCCGTGGACCGGCCTGTGCCGTTCTCCCGGGAGACCTCTTCAGCCAGGTGAAGACAGCGACTCATGGTCACCAGTCAGTGCCTCCTGGCTGGTTGGCACACTTAGGTGTTGCAGAAGCTAGAAGCTTTGGTTTTGGAGCCATGGGGGTAGTAACTTTTTTTTTTAATTAGGAAGGTGGCCATGGAGATCGGGCTTGGTGGCTCACACTTGTCATCCCAGCACTTTGGGAGTCTGAGGCGGGAGGATCGTTTGAGCTTAGGAGTTCGAGACCAGCCTAGGCAATATAGTGAGATGCCATCTCTAAAAAAAGTTTTTAAAAACTAAAAAAAAAAAAAAGCCCAGGCATAGTAGTGCATACCTGTAGTCTCAGCTACTCAGGAGGCTTGAGGTGGTGGGAGGTTCACTTGAGACTCAGAGGTTATAGCAGCAATCAGCTGTGATTGCCACACTGCACTCCAGCTTGGGTGATAGCAAAACTCTGCCTATTGAAAACCAAACAACCAAAAAGTGGCCGGACGAGGTGGTTCATGCCTGTAATCCCAGCACTTTGGGAGGCCAAGGTGGGCGAATCGCCCGAGGTCAGGAGTTGGAGACCAGCTTGGCCAGCATGGTGAAACCCTATCTCTACTGAAAATAGAAAAATTAGCCAGAAGTGGTGGTACACACCTGTAGTCCCAGCTACTCAAGAGGCTGAGGTGGGAGGTTCTCTTGAGCCCCAGAGGTTGTGGCTGCAGGCAGCTGTGATTGTGCCACTGCACTCCAGCTTGGGTGACAGCAAAACCCTGTCTAAAAACACAAAAAGAAAAATGGCCAGGTACAGTGGCTCAACACCTGTAATCCCAGCACTTTGGGAGGCTGAGGTGGGTGGATCACCTGAGGTCAGGAGTTTGAGACCAGCCTGGGCAACATGGTGAAACCCATTTATGCTGAAAATACAAAAATTAGTTGGATGTGGTGGTGGGTGCCTGTGATCCCAGCTACTTGGGAAGCTGGGACAGGAGAATTGCTTGAACGCGGGAGCTGGAGGTTGCAGTGAGCCACCACTCCACTCTAGCCTGGGTGACAGAGTGAAACTCTGTCTCAAAAAAAAGAAAAGGCATAGAACTTACTTGGTGAGGTTGTACTCAGAGTTAAACAGGGGAGGTGTGTATAGCTTTTACCTGCTTAGCTATTGTGGGCTGTGAATATATTGTTACAGCACAGTTTGTCCAGAGAATCTTGGAAATTGTCCTTTAGCAATTCACACGGGTTTAGTTCAATTTTATTTAAGACGTGTAGGTGGGAGGACTGTCTGAGCCCAAGACTTCAAGTCTGTGTTGAGCCATGACCTCGCCACTACACTCCAGTCTGGGCTATAGGGCGAGACCATGTCTCAAGAAAAAAAAATAGTTGGGGCTTG